GAACAGGGGACATATGTCAGTAAGTGTTTCTCACTCGTTCTTCCCACCATCCCTTTCTGAATTTCTACCAGGACCTCCATCCAATGGCGCCTTGCGAACTCCCTTCTCCTCGCCACCATCATCCGTACTGGTCTCGTAGTCATATCGTATGGTTGCAAGGTGCCTGCCGGTATCTTTGTGCCGAGTATGGCTGTAGGAGCTTCTTTCGGCAGGATGGTGGGGATAATGGTGAGAGCGACGTATAAAGCGTATCCTCGTTCTGGTATATTTGCCTACTGCGACCCAAATATTCCTGCATGTATCACGCCGGGAACATATGCCTTTTTAGGCGCTGCTGCCGCCTTGAGGTTAGTCGTTCTTCTTTATCGAGATTAATCACGAACTTATTGGGGGACTTTCCTCATAGCGGTGTAATGCGTATTACAGTGACGGTTGTGGTAATCATGTTCGAGTTAACTGGGGCGTTGACGTATATCTTGCCTACAATGGTGAGTCTCGCTATACACTGACCTCTCCGTATGCCATCCGATAAGCTAATTACCACCTTCGCAGATCGTTCTTCTTGTGACCAAAGCAGTTGGCGACCTCCTCGGTACAAACGGTATCGCCGACGAGACGATTCGGTTCAATGGGTTCCCATTTTTGGAGAAGGAGGATCATGCATATGGGGTCGATGGTACCCGAACTTGCTGGACATTTCTAGTAGATCTACTGACTCTATCGATGTAGTTTCTGCCGTGATGCGCACAGATTTATATACAGTGCCGGAGAAGGGGTTCAGCGTAAAGGACGTCGGTGAGTGCTACCTCCCTGCCTTTCACATTACGGGGTTAACGCCCCAGGTCGTCTTAGAGTCTCTCCTAACGACCACAAACGTCCAAGGCTTTCCTGTTGTGTCAGCTCCGGTTGCTGGAACCGAGTCTTTGTCGTCATCGTGGTCCGAGCCGGTGACGGCTGAGGGGGAGGATTTCAAGTCAACACTGTTGGGATACATTGGGAAGACTGAACTCAGATTCGTTTTAGGTGAGTGAACGATCTTGGACTTATAGTATTTGTTGTATCCCTTCCTGTCTGTCATGTCGTTTCCTTGCTGCTCCATCATTCGTCATCCTAGTCTTTCATGCTCCTTCACTCCTAACCGCGAGGTATGATTGTCCGTCCTGATTGATGCAAACAGAAAGGTTCCGCAAATCCGGTCACTTGGATGCCGATACACCATGTCTGTTTGGGCCTCCTCAGCAACCACCTCCACCGTCAGCTCCAATATCAGCTTCACGACCGACGAGGCTGGTCAGTAATAGGGTGGGGGAACTGGTCCAAGGTATCGAGGAAGAAGAGATACCCGAGACTCTGTTTGAGAGACCAGAAAACTCGGAAGGATTAGAAATGTGGCCTTGGGTCAATCAGGTAGGTTATCGCTTCTGAGAATTCATTTAGTGTGCTATGGTAGATACGTCCATATGGAATGGACTACGTCGTCATCTACTCCAGCACCGATCATCTGAATCCATGAACTGACGCGCTTATATTCACACCACGCTTTATAGACCCCGATGACTGTATCACCTCAGCTTCCTCTGGAGATTGTGATGCAATTGTTTAAGCGAATGGGGTGAGTAAATGATTTGTTTACTTTCAATTTTGTTTTCTCTTTCGTTATCTTTTGCCGCTTGAATTTTTCGTTTGCCTGGTGGCCCACGAAGCTTTTGGAGAACCACCAAAAAGTCGGAGGAATCTTAAATTCCAAACTACACTTTTGCTTTCGTTTCATAGCTCCAATGGAGTATCTATTCAGTATGCGTTATTCGCCGAGTTCTCTCCTGAATTTACAATGCTCCCGCTTCTTGAATGCGCTGTTCAATATGTGCTGTGTGCATTGAGAAGCTCTGTAAGGGCGGTGGGGTGGCTTTGGCGTCCGCTTACTACTTATGTTGTCGTCATACCTTTGGGAGTAATACTAGCGTTTAGGGCAAGTAAACGCTGGATAGATGGGTTCATTTTCGTCATCTGCTCCTTGGCATGGCATATCTTGTTAAAAATCTTTCTACGGCCCTGGGCAATGAATGGTTGGGACCATAAGATCGGAGCAGGCGAAGCTCTCGATCTCCGACTGTTCGTCATATCTCTCTCACAACTCCGCTTTTGACTTGTTTTGCCGTTTGTTTCTCCTTCGTCTACCCTTCGTCTATCCGTTCTCTTCGTCCGCTCTGTTCGTGGCCGTACAAGTTGACTCATTATTGGCTTTCATCATACTTGCGTATTCCTTCAACACAAAATCTCCCCTCGCGCTTGGGCTCTGCTCCGCTCCGCTGACCACGCCATTCAAATTGTCCATCAAATCTCGAACATGAATACAAATCTCATTTTTGGACACGATATCCCAAATGGATCTCAAACAGACCTCGAGTGATCTTGGTTGAAGATCATGGTTCGCTCGTTGGTCTCGTCACTGTCAAGGATGTTCTTCGCTTCATCGCGATGGAAAAATCTGGGCATCATGAACCGTCGTGGGACGAGCGCGGCGGGCTAGATGGGTTACTGGAGGAGCTCTGGTCTGTCAGTCGGGGAGTTGTCGATCGTTTCAGTGGAACATTCTCAGGGTTGCGCAGGAAATGGATGAGGAGATGATAGACTTTTTGTATAGACGTACTCCGAATCGAATCGTCAGTATGTGTTTTTCTCGATGTCATTTTTCCACTTGCAGCGGGCAGATAGATGGGCGGAAGTGTGGTATAGCTTATTTATCACGTAATTTTATTTCCTACTTCCCCTTTTGGTACTTGTTGCTCCAATGATCGAATACGTCACTGAAATCTGAATTCAGCATTCTGGTGGAGTCTGGGTCTCAAACATATAAAACAGGGAGTCAATCTCTGTCTACTCACTCAGCATTCCTCGCTTCCAACAACGCTTCCAACAATGGCCTACACTTCAGAAATTGAACGAGCTCGCTACTCACAGCAGCTTGCAGACTACACTCTCCGTCAGTTCTCGGCTGCGAGAGTTTCCTTGGACAGCACGACGTTGCCTCCAAGTCAATCCCAGAGGTTGGCCAAGTTGCTCGGTGGGTAGCTATCCGTATGCTGTAGCTGTAATTTGCTCATCTTCTGCAGGTAAAATAAACGCTTCCGGCCCTACCTCACGCCCTTCGCGCGTAGTCGAACCCTCTCGCCATGCTGTGAAGGCGTAATGGCACCACCTTCAAGCTGTCTGAGTGAATATCTATGTTTTCTTGATCGTCGTATACCAAGCTAATTGCGATCCAGCTTCGTACAAATCCGCTTGTCACCGAAACAAGCCAAACACTGTCATGTCGTCGTCTCGTCGTCTCATTGAATGTTATTCTTTGGACAGTCCTAGGCACCTATCGTAAAAGACGTGCCCGATACAGCTTAACCTCAAATTGTTACAAATACTCGCCTGGCATCTATCCTGTCGACGTGCCAGCTTCACGCTATTATATGATTACTACGTATTCTGCATAAATTATCCATCCATTTCCATTTCGTTGGAACTTTTTTAGATGTAGCTCAGTATCAGTTGTATCACTATCGCATTAAATATTCCAATACACACCACGACTTTTCGATCCACTTGAACGCAACCTGCGAATATATTTCTCTTTATTTACCATCCAAATGGCTCTTCTATGCGTTATGCGAGTGAGTGCTTCGTGCCTATCTCATTGGAGATCTGTAGCCACACATACGTTGAGGGTTCATTTTGTCTGGGAAACCGAGCAGGTAGCTGTTCTTTTTCTATGACATGGGAGCCTCCGAATTCGCTATGATGTCTGACCTCCCAAACCCAGGTAGGGTTCTTTATGTCGCACTGATCACCCGACAAGTAGCTTGAGAAATCAGAAAAGAAACGGAATTTTTGCGTCCCTAGGGCATCGTGTCGCGATGTAGCACGATCTGCGGATACTAAACTCCCGCTCTTTAATTAATGGAATGAAAGTCAATTCGTACTTGGCCGGCAGTTTTTGAATAGTTTGGCTTTAGAGTGGTTTATAAGATAGCCTCCCTGTTGGAGCATCCCACTCCACTTTGGCAGCTGAGTTTGTACCAACTTCTTTGATTCTCCAGCTCCAGTGTTCATTTACATATTCAGCCAGAGATCTTCCCCCGTACATCGATACCCTATTACCTCGTAGCTCCTACTCAATTCTAACGATCATAAGTCTTTTTTACCTTGTTCCCGGAGCCTTCTAAAAACGGATTTCTGTCGCCAATGTTCGTGTCCAACTATTAGTAGCCGCGGATGTCTTGTAGCACAGTTCGAGCTTTTGGCCTTAGGTTTGCGATACACCTTACCTTACAGCGACCATAATTGGGCAAGCAAATGCTTTCGAAATTATTTGATGGGTCATCAGCACGTATTTTTCCAGCTGCAAGCGGAGCTCTGCTTAATCGGAAGGAAGTTTACCGGAAGAACGGCCATTGAAGGCAATTGATTTTGAGGGTAACGCTAGAGTCTGTGAAAAGAGCAGCAAAAGGTATCGCGATTTGAGATTGGCAGTTCACTCTGAATCCTGAACGCATGCGGATGCATTATCATTCAGAGAGTCAGATCTGTACAGGATGCACATATATCGTAGGGCATTACGGAAAAACAACTGCTGGCGACAACCAGAAAATAAATTCTAGCTGTCCGACTCGCAAGTTGGAGGATGGAAGGATGTGCGGGTCCGAGATGCATGGATGAACGGAAGGAAAGAAGCCAGTAAGAACGAATACTGCACCGGCTTACATTCACTTAGAGTCCTCTGTCCTGCGAGTTCTGGACGGAAAGAAAACGCCTGACAGTGAGTAGCGCATCCTATGGTGGCGAGCGAAACGGCCGTGGAGATGAGAGATGAAAGGGAGCCACCCGCTCTCCTGCACCTGGCTATTGAAGGAAGTCAGCAAAATTAAACGAGGAGCCATAGAACCTCTTCTTCTGAAGAGACAGAAGAATATACCAAGCAAAATGTAAAAAAATACAGTAGCAAAGAAAAATGGTTCGACCCGGTTTCGAACCGGGGACCTCCTGTGCACTTGGCAATACCCGATATATGTGAGACAGACGTGATAACCACTACACCACCGAACCAATATCTAAGTTCTCAGCGAGAATCCTATACATAGACCGTTGATGGATAAGTTCACTGCGAGCTGCTGAGCATATCACACGGTTTTGCTCTGCTACACTTTTGAAATCGGAGCTTGACTTCGACTTGCAACCGACAGAACCCGATTGCCGGTGAACGCGAAACGTTATTGCAATTCCTTTCGGTTGAGATATAGTCAAACGTTAATGTTCGCGTTCCGGAAACTTTCCGCTGAACGCGGAGCAGGCTGGGAAGGATTCCCACTTCGATTCGGACGCTGTGCTTCAATGTATGCGCTTTAACTTCTGACGTGGTCTCAATCCGATGTAGCCAAGAGTTTCCATTGTACGTAGTTCATCATCGCAATGACAATGTACCAGGCCGGTAAACTGGTCACCTCCTGGTCTTGTTTATTCAACTTCTATCTTATCCTATCCGACCAGACTATGCTCAGATCCAGCAATCCCCGCTTTTAATTTCTTTCTTGTGCTTACCTGCCGTGTTTCATGGAATAACAAGGAAGAGCGGGATTGCTTTTTCTGAACCACTTAGGTGCTATCTCCGGTTCCGAACGCGGCTCACTTGGCTATTCAACTCACGTACAAGCTAAAATCATGGTGAGTGCTCACAACTCAGCGCTCGCAGCGTGCTAGCCATGGCCGTGGCCATTGTGAAACGTGATTCGGTGCGAAGGTACACAACTCGTATCAAGTACTTCCAAGTCTTGTCCAGCCTCTGCAATGTATCATCACTCTGATTTGTGTGCCAAGTGTACAGGCTCTTGAAACGGGGTCGATTCTCATATTGACACCATGGCGAATATTCCCTTCTGGTTCCGCCGGATGTATCGCTACTGAATGATTTTGACATTGTAGGCTATGTTCAGTGTAGGTTTTGCCCTCCGAAGACAGAACTTAGTAGTGGCCCAGGAACGTTGACACAGCAACGAGTGGATATTTAAACCCACAGTGACTGGAAAGTAAAGACAGGCCATACGCAGGTCGTATCCCAGCTTCTACAGATTCCCATCGCGCCGGTCGCGATTTGCTCACCTTCTCTGTTCGATAGCGTCTTTATCCCCTTCACTCGTTTTAATCATGTCGTCTCTCAGACACGTACGGCCGGTCTCCGTTATGAGCCTCCTTCTCCTCGCGACAACGATCACGACTACTTCGGCTCTGCCCGTTCGCCGACAGGCTAACGACCCAAGCGCGGACTCCTCCGTGCAAACTGTCTCCGATTACATGGAAATCGCGTTGCAAACCTTTCTCGCTGGACAGCAGGGCATAAGCAACTTCCATGCTCTTTCCGGTGGATGGAAGCCTATTGATTTCGCTGGAACGGGCTCGAGTCTTACCACGGAGATGTCCGCAAATAGGTGAACTTCACTTTCTGGAATGAAAATTTGATACATCGAGTCTAACCCTTCTCCAAGTGCCTTCTATATGGCCGATCAGCTATTCGTGCCCACACCCATCTCCTACAGTCAGATGATGATCGACTTCATCCAGCAAATAAATATCGACATGAACCTAAACAGCTCGACCAGTGGGGTGAATAAGCCGGATGTCAAAGCAGCGGCGGTCGCATCTTCTGCTGCCTGCTTTGCGGGGATGCAAAAAGCAGTGTCTGAAGTCTCTAAAGCATACAGTGATTTCCAGGGAGGTGCTCTGAAAAACACAAACGACCCTGAATTCCTACAATTTGCTGCTCAAGATTCGGTCTACCAACAGGCGAGCGCTGAATGTCAGAGTGCATCAAATGCTTACCAGGCAAAGCTGAGCGCCGCTGTCGGGAAAGACTTTTACATCTTTTCTGGAGCACTGAATACTATCTCTCAAATTCTCACTCCGACTGAGGCCGTCGCAGGTATTACCATGGATGTCTCCGACGAGACTGCCGCCCCAGGAAAGAACAGTGGCAAGGTCAAACCTTACTATAGTTTCCCAACTCTAAATGGAACCTTGTCATCGTGGCAGTCTCCGGACAAAAGTGGCCTTGCTCCTTCGTTCACATGGAATAGCTCCACCGTCAGTGGCTCGACGACAAATACATCGAGTTCTGGAGGCGCAGGAGTGAGTTTCATTTGGGAAGATGTTTCTGGAAGTGGTTCCGGCGGCACAACTGACACAAAATCGGCGACCAACACAACTGCAGTTGGAATGGATATCTCTTTCGGACAAATAAGCATGTTCGGAGTAGAATATGGCCTATGGAATTCGCCAGAAGTTGCTTCAGCTCTACAGAAACCTTCTGACGCTGTTGCACAGAAGGGGGCCCAAGCCTTCAAAGACTATTATGGAACTGCTGATAAGCCTGGACCGTTGGCTAGCTGGAAAGATCAGGCATTAGTTGTGTACCAGGTATGCAAAACGAACCAACCCAGTGATCTTCGTCTGAATGACTGACCTCCTCTTTTTCCCTCGGTAGCCCTCTTTTTCCGTGCAGTTTTCGACCAGCGAGGAAGCGGCAGATTTTCATCAGAGTGCTGGTTCTGCCAGCGCATGTATTCTGTTCATCTGTATCGGAGGCCACGGAAGCAGCTCAACTAACACGACTTCCTATCAACAAGGAAGTAAAGTTGTGACGTTCAAAGACACTTCCAATCAAGCATATCTCGTGGGTTTCACTGAAACCACCTACTACCCGAACCAGGGTGTACAAGATGCCAACAACTGGAACGTCACCACCAACACGTCCCAGGACACGGACTCTTCTTCTTCAACTGGAAATTCGACTGCCAACACGGACTCCTCCGAGGGCGACGAGACTTCAAATGGAGATGAATCTTCTGCCACCGCTGAAGATGGGACATCTGATGCCACACCTGCCGATGAAACTTCTGTCTCTACCCCTGGAGATGATACATCTGATACCACACCCGCTGATGATTCTTCTACTGAAGATGAAGAATCAGGTATCACGTCGGGCGATGATTCCACCTCCGATTCATCTTCCACCCCCAGTCCAGGCGATACGCCCGGCGACGAGGCATCGACTGCCACTGATGGCGATACAGCGGCTAACGAGGATGACGAAGAGTCGACTCCTGCCACGGATGACGGAACAACTTCCGCCGACGATGACAGCGCGTCCGGCAATGAAGATGACTCAGATTCAACTTCCACTGATGACAACACCGAGAGCGATAGCCCGACCGGTGAAGAAGAGTCGACTTCTCCAGATGACGAAACATCTGCTACTGAGGGCGAGGGCACGACCAGTGATGAAAGTTCGAACCCGTCCACGGACGACGAAACCTCTTCCACTGACTCTACGTCTGATGATTCAACGTCAACACCTACGGGCGACGAGGATGAAAACACTGATTCTCCCACTGACGGGGAGACGCCGGAAAGTGAGACTTCCCCTGGATCGGGCGAAGGGGAAAGCACTGGCTCTCCTTCCGCCGACGAAGACACGCCAACTACGGATACCGAGTCGACCAGTAGACCAATTACCCCGGCTGCAACCTCTTCCGCCAGGCCTACAAACACCACGTCTACTTCCCGGTCCGGGAAACCTACCACTTCCGCAGCGCCGACAAAGACTGCAAGTCCGGGCAAGTCTTCCACTGCCGCGGTGACAACAAAGACTCCATCACCCTCTAAGCCGGGGACAACTGCCTCTCTTCCGTCTTCTACGAAACCGGGTACATCAACGAAGACGCCAACGAGCAAACCGCCACCAAAAATCCAATCTGTGCCACAAGTGAACAAACCCTCACCGAAAGGCAAACCCAGCGTCAAGAAGCCTCGAATGGTTCGGGTCAGAGCGGGATCGCTGTAGAGTCAGAGTTAAATTTGAGAAGCAGAGAACTGAGCCAGGATCTAGTACTTACATTCCAGTTCGTGCCACTTCATGATCCAACAATAGAATTCTATACACATCAGCGTATCAATGCACATTTTAGGAACAAGGACCAACCAAGTATACAACAAAACGTGAGTGCTCGTGCTCGATTTCGAGGAGAGAAAATGTAAGGGGCGTAATTCAATAAAAGATTTTACAATAATCAATATCCCGTCAATAGTTCGGGTCAGGGCGAAATCATTGTAAAGTGAGAGTTGTTTTTGGATTCCGGGGTATATATTCTCCGTGATCGAAGGAATATCTAGCGTATTAGCTGTATTCTCCGGCATAAGGCGAGAAATTGATCAGATACGAACCTGACCGCTCCTGACATAATTTTGCGGGGCTGTGAGGGGCTGGGATAGCAAATCAATTTTACAACTATACTTGTTATCATCAGTATCACATCAAGCTATATGTAAACAACAGCTGTATGTTAGCAAGGGTATTCGGGAGAATCGGGTTCAGAGCGAGACCCACTTGAATGGATCGCCTGCATGTGGTCAGCACCTCGAGATTCGAGAATGCGTGAAGGGGCAAGATTAGACGGATCTTTCCTGTTAGGATGAGATAGCGCAGCTGACTTTGTGATCCTGCTATGCGGAGACGTTAGAGTTACTCGTGAGCGACGCCGGTTGAGGAAGATGTGTCGAGGTGTCAGGGGCGCCTCTCTCATCGGACTTGGCTGTGGGGGACACAACTAACGGGTAGAGTTGTTTATTATTATTATTTTGCTTCATTTGATTCAGCGCGACGAACGAAAAAACGAACGATACATCGTTAAACACCAGGTACACAACACACCATGAGAATTATGCCCTAAAATTGTATCCTAGCCCACAACACTCTAAGTGCCAGCCATTCCTACAACTCCGACGCGGTCCCGAATCTTTGCAATGTCACTCGCTGACATACCGCCTTTGCTGGCAGCAAGAAAATCCTCGAAAGCAGCAAGCGCGTCTGCCTCGGACGAAAACTCGGCTCTACAATTGAACAAATTGTCGGCGTCAAATTTCGATTTTTGAACAGGCTAAGATTTCTCACCGCAAAAGTGCAAGCAACTTCTCCCAGAATGCAGGGTTGGATATCGTCAGATGATATGATCCCAGAGTCTCTCTCAACACAGGACTGCTCGATCCAAGATCCAACT